TGCTGGGTCTGGGGGGGTGCTGGGTCCAGGAGGATGCTGGGCCTGGGGGGGGCTGGGCCTGGGGGGGGCTGGATCCGGGAGGGGAGGGTTCTGGGTTCAGGAGGAGCTGGGTTTGCAGAAGCCACTGCTCTGGATAGTTTTCATCACACAAGTAATGTACTCGGAGCAGCCCAGCGATGCCTGCAGGTCTCTGGCCATGTAGCAGGGCTCTTGGCTAGAGGTGTGCAGCCTGTGTCTTCCCACGCTTGAGTAATCACTGCCATCGGCTCAGGGATTGCACTCATCTGGTCTTACCCATATTGCATCCTGGACATCGGCCCCACGGGTGTCTGATGTGTCCTGTGGCCTTTGTGCAGGAAAAAGACCTCTCCTGGGCAGCACAGCCCTACAGATAAGGGTGCAGCCCACCAGCCTGGCAGCAGAGCAAGCCCCCCTGGGCCCCTCCACCAGGTGGTGCTGAGGAAGGCATCCCAGGGGCTGGGCTGCTGGTGGGTAGGCCTGACCTAGGACTCCTTGTGGGCTGAGGGCATTTGTGGCAATGTGAGGTGTGGCCGGTGCTCAGACCATGCCCATGTAATGACAGTGCTGAACCCCATGGGAAGGACATCCCCCGGAAGGAACAACAGGTAGTGGTGGGGACCCCGTGGAGCATTATCACAGCAAAACACCCATAGCCAGGCTGGAGGCAGGAGTACCGCCCACCCCTTTCAGGTGTCCGGGCATCACCCCTGGTCCTGCTTCCTCTTGACCTCGGGGGTCACTGAGTGCCCCTCGTCTTGCCCCCTCTTGACCTCGGGGGTCACTGACACCCTCCAATAACCTTCTCTTTGCTGGAGTTACTCAGTCACAAACCCCCAGGTGGCAGAGAGGACGTGTCAACACTGACACATCTCATGCCTGACCCCAGCAAACATGAGCAATGGCCCTGCTGTCAGAGCTGAGCCCAGGGATGGCAGGCAGATGGGCTCAGCACACATGCCGAGGGTTCAGCCCTAGAGTCCCTAGCCTGCCCCAGGTGATGTGCCCCCACCCTGCAGGTGCCCAGCATGAGCTGGACAAGCCAGCCCTTACTGGGAACTCCTAGGAAGGAGCCCAGGGTCCTGGCTCTGCGGCCCTCCCGGCCTTCAAGATGGTCCAGGGCCAGCCTCGAGTGTGCTCTTGGGGAGTCTAAGCAGAGACAGTGGGGCTTCTGCCAAACCAGCTGCCTGCCATTGGCTTTCACTCTCTGTCCTACTTCCTCCCGCCTGGCAGCTGAGCAGAGTGGTCAGCAGCACTCATGGGTACGTCACTCAGGACACAGTGGAGTGAGCCTCTATGTCACTTCTGACATGGTGACTTTCTCATTTGAGGGAAGAGCCACAAGTCTTCTGGTGGCAGGACGAGGCTGAGTTCACTCAGTTCACAGCCCTTTGCGCGGCCAGGTGCCCTAGCGCTGGCTGGCTACGCCTTGGGGGATCCATTTTGGGGCTCCTCCGGGAGGTAGCATCTAGTCTTCTAGGGCCTAAGTGGGACATGGTCACGTGTTACTTCTGTCTCTTCAAAAGGCCCGTTTTCAGATCCGAGTAGATTGGGTTTCCAGGCGTTCATGTCCCCCCACTGATCTGAGCCTGGTGGTCAAGGGTGAGGCCAGTGCCCACCTCCTCCCTCTTGCCCCAACTCCTGCCCACATCCTGCTTTGACAAAGCGTCTTCGACTCTGAGGAGGGACACCAAGGGCACTCCCTCTGCAGCACTGGACCCAGCACTGGAGGAAGTCTTTCTCAGTGACCCCCATGACCCCAGTCATCTCAGGCCCTGTGTGGGCACCTCCGGAGGAACAGCCAGGGTCACACCAAGCAAAGTTTATTGAGGCCAGTGGGCAGGGCCCACATACAGCATGGGGTAGATACAGGCGCACTGGATCGGGGTGCTAGCAGCGCAAAGCGGGCACACCAGGCCCGGGGGCACCCTCTCTAGCAGTTCTGGGGCCTGAATAGAGAGCCATTCCTAGTCCCCAGGGCTCTTCCGGGGAACCGTCCCTGCTTCCCCTGAGCTCCAAGTGGGGCGGGTGGGGGCCTTTCTTTGTGTGATCAAGGACAGGGGGACCCCTAGAGTCTCTATAAAAATTAAAATTCCTTTATAAATTATGGGGGGTAGGGGGCCGTCTTGGGGCCTGATGTCCGCAGCCACCAAAGCCTCACCTTTCCCCACACCCTCAGTTCTGTTCCCAAGTCCACTGAGGGCAGAGGGCAGGTTTGCAGGCACAGAGAGGGGCCAGACAGACACAGGAAAAAATGGGATCAGAGATCAAGGGCAGACAGGGACAAGGTGAGACAGAGAAGCTGGGCCAGAGAAAGAGTGTGTGGGGGGGGGCAGAGCCAGGGTCCCCTCTCTAGTGGCTCCCAAAGGCTGTATCCGGGGAACAAGGATGAGGAGGGAGTCCTCAGTGCAGCCCAGAGACCCTCATGAATGTAAGGCCCCCTCATCCACACCCCTAATTCAGTCCTTGCCAAAGCCGCAGCGGCCTTGAGACACCCCCAGCCCAGCTGCGCCTGGAGCAGGTGGGGCAGGGTGGAGGTGGCACGGCACCTATTCCAGGTAGATGTCCTCTGTGGGGCAGGCGTACTCCAGGTGTTCTTGGTAGTACTCCAGGAAGGCGCGGCTGCAGGGGGAGCACTGTCAAAGGCTCCCCCACCGCGTGCTCTCGGGTCCCAATGCTGCCTCCCACCCCAGCCCCTCTCCTGACCAGCCTGCTCACCTGGGAGAACTGCCTGCACCAACCCTCACCCCCAGGCCAGCTCCCTCTGGTCTCCCACCATTTCTCCTGCCCCAAGTCCCTGTGCCCTTGGCCAGCTCACCCCACGCTCTGTGCCACGGGCCGCATGGACTCCTGGGAGACGAACACGTGGCAGGCGAAGCGACTTAGCAGAGGGTGCTTGGTGATGAAGCCGAAGTAGCTGGGGGTGGGCCGTGGGGGGAGGTCAGAGGCCCTGCCCCTCAGGCTGCCCCCCCTTAAATGGTCAGGAGAACAGAAGGCTTGGGGAGAAGGTTGGGCAAGAAGGCCAAGGGACTTCAGGGTGCCGACCGCGCAGGGCCCCTAGTAGAATTGGGGGTCTTCTCAGAATCGCTGCATGGGTGTCCGGCCAGGGCTAGAGCCCAACATGCAGTGCCCTGTGTGCGGGCTTACTGGTCAGACAGCCCTTCCTGAGCCAGTGCTGCCCCCGAGCTCAGGCTGGCCTGCAGGGCCCAGGGGGTGTGCGTCCCCACTGCGTGCCCTGGGCCTGCCCTGCAAGCTCACAGCTATCTCGGGGCCCAGCGCCACTACCCTCCCAGAGGTGCCAAGCTTCCACCCCAGCCCTGCTTGTTTGTGCGTTTCTGCAACCTGCCCGTCCAAGACACAGTTACAAATTACTGGGCAGAGGGGGGGTCAACCTGAGACCTCATGGCCAGGGGCCTGTGGATGGGGCCCACCACGCGAAGCCCAGCTAACAGTATCTCTACCAGAAAACCAGCTCCACAGTCGACGAACACAACTGAACACAACACCACCTCACCTGGCAGCTGTAAAGCCACTCAAAACCACATCTCGATAAAACGACAGGGAACACCCTTGTCGCTAATGCCTTCTGGAAAGTCAGAGCTGACACACATGGCTCACTACATGCCAAGCACCATTCTAAGCACTGTGTCCTTAGGGAGCAAACCTGCCACACCCTGTGCATAGAGACAGAACTGAAGCTCAGAAAGGGTCAGTGACTGGGCTGGGGACACACAGCCCCATGGCAGTGCTGGAGTCTGATCTCAAGGTCACACACCTTGACCTCATCCAAACATCATGCCCAGTACACACCCCCACCTGCCATCTATGTAAAAACAACACGAGTTAACCCCTCAAATGACACCATCTATGTTCCCCTCCTCACGTGAGGAGCTTGCAGGCCCTAGCCCTCACAGTACCTGCCTGCTCCACGGGCAGGGCCAATGAAGTCAAGGAAGGCCGGTCTGCAAAGCAGCTCCTTGGCCCACTGCCCCATCTCTTGTCACCGAGCCCGGTGCCTAATTAGCTTTCCCATGCGGTGGGGCAGCTGACCTATGTGAGGCCTATGCTGAGCTGGGGGCACAGAGCTCCCTTCAGTTGGAAAATAGGACTGTTACCTCCCTATGATGGCAATCCCACCACTGCCCACTGTCCTCCTGGACTGGGGCCGCCCCAGTGTCAGGGAGCCTGCCTTCCCATCCCACTGAGTAACATCTCATGTCGCTGCCTGTGCAGCACAGCTAAGCTGGTTATTTCCCACAGAAGTGCCTGAGTGACACACATGCTGCCCCTACCATCTGTCACGGCCTCTGTCTGCCCATGGGGACACAGTCTCCCACCCTCCATCAGGCCCCCTGAGCTCACGGGGGCTCCAGGTGGTCACTTCTCCACCTCCTCCCTCTGGGACACACAGAGCCAGCAGGACCCACTGGGTCCTCAGACCCTGGAGCCTGTAGCACACCTGCCCCCACACCCCATCCCTTTCCTCTTTTCTGTCATTCCTTGTCACTCTGCCTGCGCCATCTTGCTCCAGATTGAGCCCTCTGGCATCTTCCCCCTTCCACTTCTAGAAGCCACCCTGCTCCTTATATTGGCATGTGGTGCCCCCTGCTGCCCACCCCCCAGATCAGCCTCCACCTCCAGTTGGTCCACCCGAAGTCTTGTCTGGTCATTCCCAAAAGTTTCCTGCATCTGCATGCTTCTCCCCACCCACCACACCACCCTTGGATGACCCTGTGACCCAGGCAGCACCAGTCCCTACTTCAGTGGCTCTGCCCCACCTGCAAACTACAGCTGAAACTGGCTATCAGCTGGCCCTGGGATGCACCAAGCCTTGCATGGAATGCCTGGGCCCACTGCTGGCTGGTGGGGTTAGTACTAGCTCCTTGGCACAGATGGCCTAGGTCTCTGCTCTCACCTCCAGGGTCATCACCCCAGGGTCATCACCGCTGCCTCTCTGATGCCCCCAGCAGACCCCCCCAGGCCTTTGTTCAGCGGCAGCCACTCCTGACTCAGCATTTGAGACTCAGCAGGGGTCTCAGGAAGAAACAGCTCCCAGGTCTGCTCAGTGGTCAGACACCATCAGATGGCCCAGAGATGTCTTCCAACATACTGTCTGTCCAGCTCCCACCCAGGCTGACAAGGGCCTCATCGGACTGCGTTTCCCAGAGCGCAGCACTGAGCTGGGGTCCAGTGCACCCAGGGCACAGTGGGCACAGTTGGGGGTGGGTAGGGTGGGCACAGGAGGCTCCTGGGGTCAGGGGCTCGGAGGGTGGGCTCTCACCAGCTGTTGCGGGGGTGACAGCCACAGAAGGAAATGTTCTTCATCTGGAAGAAGTGACTGCAGCGCTCAAACTAGAGGAGAGATGAGCAGACACACTGGTGGCAGCCACGGGCAGCTGGGCCTCCAGGCCCCAAGCCATCCCACAGGCGGACCCCACTGCCATACCCTGTCCTGTGCCCTGGATCCCTGACCCTCACCTCAGGTCCACCTCCGGTCAGACTCAGCTTGACCCCCCGAAGGGAGATTTCAAGGTCACAGGAGGCAGGTGGGCGCAGGTGGACGGTCAGCTTCCGGGCTGTGGCGATCTGGGGAGGAAGCCCGGGGAGAGGGATCTCACGGGGCTTACATGGCCTCGATCCCTACTTAGTGGAACTGTGCCTGTCACCGTTAGGTTTGCAGATATGGCGCAGAGGCCTGTAAGATGCCATTCTGGAGCCCAGCCCCAGTCAGCCAGAGCACCCTCAGCTCAGGTGGGTGCTGGGAACATACCCCCCTCCCCACCTACTCACTGGCTGGCCCTGGGGGCTCAGCAAGCCCTGAAGGCAGGGCCAGTCGGCCCCTGGTTGTCTGGCTCCTCCTCCCACCAGCCACACTCCCAGGGCCTGCTCACTATCACCCAGAAGGAATAAATGAACGAATGGCAAGGGGCCCAGATCTGGGAGACCTTATTTTTCAGACACAAACAGGCAAACTGAAGGGCAGGAGGGGACGGCAGAGGGTGGGTCCTACTGAACTGGCCTAGAGGCCCTGGTGATGGCGCCAGCTGTAACCTCAGCAGGCCTGTCTGCTCAGCCTGAGTCAAGATAGGGGGTGCTTCCTGAACTGCCTCTGCGGTAGCCCAGAACTCTGCCTGGAGCCATCAGGGGCTGCAGCCAGCCTGCAGCCTCCCACTCCCTTACCAGTCCCCCATAGGCCCCAGACTGACCTTCTGCATGGCTGCACACAAGATACCGTTGCCCTGGTGACAGGGTACCTCCACGGAGCCCAGAAACTGCACATCGAATCGGTCCACCCAGCAGGGGCTCCGCTTGTTCCCTGCAGTCACACAGGGCCCAGGTCAGGAAGCACGGGCGGGGGTGACTGCTGCCCCTCCAGCCTGGACAGGGCCTCACCCAGCAGGTCTTTGGCAGGGCCCGGCACTGCATGGGCATAGAAAGCAGGGAAGATTCCCCGCTCCCCTGTCCGCATGTTGAAGCCACGGAACCAGAAGTCATCCTCCTCGGCCTCGACCAGCACCGGGTCGTCCACGTCCAGCTCCAGTTCATCCGGGTGACGAGGAATGAACCTAAGGTTGGGGTTGGAGGTGGAGATCACCCAGGAGAGGGCAGGGCTGGAGGGGTGCCCCCCCACCTGTGTCTTGTGATGTCTGCAGGAAGGAGGAAAGGATCTGGCTGCCATGGCGGGAGTCAGAGGCGCTATACCTGAAGACAGCCCGGTGGGTCTGCTCCCGTTCTTCACCATTCACCAAGCAGGAGAACAAGCCAAAGGACTCGGTGCCTGGAACAGAGACAAGAGAGACAGAGTCGGGGGAGATGGGGTTGGGGGAGATGGGGAGACAGAAATGGGGGAGACGGAGACGGGGAAGACGGAGATGGGGGAGATAGAGACAGGGGAGACAGACGGGGGAGACAGATGGGGAGACGGAGATGGAGAGAGATGGGAAGGCAGAGTCGGGGGAGACGGAGATGGGGGAGACGGAGACGGGGGAGATGGAGATGTGGGAGATGGAGGAGATGGAGATGTGGGAGATGGAGATTGGGGAGACGGAGACGGGGGAGACAGAGACGGGGAGAGACACGGGGGGAGATAGAAAGAAGGGAGACAGAGACAAGGGAGATAGAGACAGGAAGACAGAGATGAGGAGGCAGAGATGGCAGAAAGACACAACAGAGACAGAGACTGGGAGGCAGGTGGGGAAGAGAGGACCTGAAAGGCCCCACCTGTCCGTCCCACAAGGTCTGGGGTGAGAACCCTGGGATGGGGACAGAAAAGCCTTGCACACCCAGCTCCCCAGCTGAGGTCTGCACCGACTCTGACCAGGGGTGACCCACAGGCTGCCCAGGGTGCTTTGGGGGCCCAGCAGAGCCCTGGAAGGCTGCACCAGTGGACCCCAAATACACACACACTTACTGGAAGATCGAGAGGTGCTGTTGACAAACACATTAAGGAACTTCTTGGAGAAGGTGAGGTCGGGGCTGTCCGGAGAGGCGTCCTCCGGGTCCCGCGCTCCGCCGCTGCCCAGCAGCCCGGCCCCGGCCTCTTCCTCCTCACTGGCCTCGCCTCCACTGTCCTCGCTGTCGGCACCCAGGCCGGCGCAGCGCCGCAGGCTCACCAGCTCCAGCTGCGTGTGCTCGTCCACCACCAGCGTGTACTTGACCGCGTCGTACACCAGCGAGGCGTCCCGTGGCGCCGCGGGGCCCGCGCCCCTGCCCCCGGGGGACTCTGCGCCCTCCTCGGCCTCATCTTCCTCGTCCTCGTCCTCCTCCTCCGAGCAGGCCGCCGAGCACGCGCGGCCCGGGCGCCCTGCGCGGCCCACCGCGGCCCACAGCGGCGTGATGGTGTCGCGCGTGGGGTTGCTCAGGAAGAGGCAGGGCGCGGGTTGCGCAGGGCCCGGCCGG